GATTTGAATTGAGATATAAAAATCTTATCATGTACATTATAGATGACTTACAGAATTTTTTGGTGGGAAAACGTGAGGGTTCATTACCAGGTAAGAAATGATCTCTGATGGCATTCTTAGATGACACCTTCGGTTACTGTATGGCAGAAAGAATTTTTTTAGGGGAAAAGCTTTCTTCTTATAACATTGTGACTATACAATCAAAACAATCTTGGAAGTCTTGCATAAAAACCATGTGCCTTTCCAGAAATGTCTTCTAGGCTTTATTTTGGGACCGTTGCCTCAACCGCTGTCTCCCATCTGCTTTTTCAACGTCACCAAGTAAAGAAAAGATCTGTATGGTGAAACCCCACCTCTACTAAAACTACAAAAATTAGCCGGGCGTGCTGACCAGCTACTGTGATCTCAGCTACTGGGGAGGCAGCGGGAGCAGGATCACTTGAGCCCAGGAGGCAGATGTTGCAGTGAGTCAAGATCATGACATCGTACTCCAGCCTGGGTGGCAGAGCGAGATTCCAGCAAAGAGAGAGAGACAGAGAAAAGAAAAACCTGTGCACACAGGACACAGCATGGTCTGACCCTTACAGTGTTTTGTTTTTCTCTAAATACAGGTGGACAAAGCCACAGTGACAAACAGTACGTATTCTGGGATCACCCCTATGCTGAGGTAAAATTCTAGTGTTGACAAAGGTGACACTTTCTTGCCTCATTTTTCTAGAGAGCCACTCTGGTTTGAACTTCCTGCCAGAAATGAGGTTCAAGCACTTTTGTCCACATGTCAGGCTGTCCCCGTGTTGGAGTCAGTGTGAGCATGAGGAGCAGTGCACTCCATGGTGCACACGTATCATGTTGAAAAGGAAGAGTGGAAGGACAAATACCAGATGCTAAGTAGGGGTCATCGTTAAATGGTAGGATAATTGAGTATTTTCAAATCTTGGTTTAATTGCCTTATAACAAAAAGTTAATGAAATCTTTTGGCTAGAATTAAATCTCCTATTTTAAGAAAGATTGCTTCTTCAGTACAGAATCTTCTAGAAGGGATGACACACAGAGCAGCAGCACATGTGGATTCTGAGGAGGAAATGACTTTGGCAGGGATCAATAAGAGGGCAAGTTAGCTCAGGTCAGATTAGGAAGGAGAAGCCCTAAGAGGCTGCCAGGAACACACAGCCTGCACTGCAGGAAGGGCCCTGTTTGAGACTGGATATTTCATGTTTATGAGGGGGCCTGGAGCTAGAAAGCCAAAGGCCCTGATTCCCTTTCTTCCCTGCTCCTCTCCTGTGCCTGCTGCCCTCCTCCCACACCCACCTCAATCAATGTTACCGAATTGTTCATGAGCAACACCATCAAGGTGCCGCCAGTCACTTAAGATATGAGAATCTGACAATGTATATCTTAGATTAATTACACAATGTCCTTGCGGAGAATTGTAAGTGAGAGTCTGTCCCTGCTCAGGCTTGATTTAAGACAGTGGGAGGAAATGACAGTGAGGGAAATCAGGCACATTCCTCAGCCCCGGGCTCAATACAAACAGGCCCAGTACAAACACATCTCACCATATATCTCTCAACTTCCTGAGCCCAGTACAAACACCACCTGGAAAATCCCCGATAAGGACACAGTCGTTTGTAGTTTTACTGAAAGTGCGGGAACCAATAGAAAAACTACTAAATGTATAACTTAAAATGTAAACCAATTGTAATGCTGTAACCAAAAGAATTCCCTTGTTCCTCTGTAACTTTACTATCCTATTTACCTCGGGCCATAAAAAGGCAAGCACTCGCATTGTTCGAGGCCCTCTTGTATGCTGTGGAATGGAGGGACCAAGTTCGAACTTGCAGTAAAAGATCCTTGCCACTTGGCTTTGACTCTGGGCTCTGGTGGTCTTCTTTGGGGAACATACAGTCTGGGCATTACAACAGCATCAGTCACACACTGTGTGGCAGTGAGGCTTACCAATTTTGTTCTCTCTTTGGAGCAAAATCAGTTACTTGCCAGCTGACATAGACTTGAGAGGAAACATCCTCTGAGAAAAATTTGTGTCTTTAGTATGAGTCGATTTCTTCTGTTCTTCTTTTGGGTTCCTTTGAACACTGGTTTCCATCTTGTTTTCTAATGTTACTAAGTGAAGAAAAGTCCTGTGCACACAGGACACAGCATGGTCTGATGCTCATAGCAATTTATTTTCTGTCATTACAGAAATCCTCGGGAGTTCCACCGGAGGGTACGTATTGCGGAGCCCCTCTCACACTGATGAGTCACCCAGATGATGAGGAATGTGTCACTGCCTCGCTGGCCTTCCCGTAGACAGGCAGCCTGGAGTGGAGCTTCCTCTCATGCATGAGGACCTAGGCTGTGATGGGAGAAATGCTTGTTCCAGATGGAGCATGATGGTCACATTCTGTGGTCCCTGGGAGCAACTGCATTTTCTAAGGATGGGGTGAGGTTGTGTGCATTAAGTTGCTGCGTGTCTTTTTGAATTCATGTGGTAAGTGTCCAAAATACATAATGTCAAGGTCATATAGAGGCTCAACCTCTGTCATGCAGCCTCCTCCTGGTTTCCATGTTCTGTGCTCAGGAAACACAGCACCATGAAAAGGTAACCAAAGGGCTTGCCCTAGGCTGTGAGTGGCAGGCCGAGCACTTGCCTTCCTAGGAGGATGGAGGGTGACTCATGCATTACGAGGTGGGGAGAGACAAATGTGGCTGTGGGACAGCAGAGGCTCCAGGACATCCCCATTGAACCCACCGTGGACAAAGGTTTTTGTTTGCTCCTGAAGGCCTTTGCAGAAAACAAGTCAAGGTGGTTGGCTTAAGGTCATATGAAAATAAAATTAACCCAATTCTGGACTGAGTTTCTTTTGGGAGCCTGCCTTTGGTGGAAATACGTTGTATGTGAGTTGAATTTGATTGCTCTGTAGGTGTCCGTACTTAACCCACATTTTAAAACAATGAGGCTGGTGTGATTTTTAAATGTCCCTCGTTAACCTCAGAAACTGTCTCCTCATAACCCAATTCCCCTGGTCATCTCTAATCTTTAGAATACAGTTTTTTTGTGTGTGGTATTCGGGGCCTTCTGCTGTGTGTGATCAAAGGCACAAATCAGCGTTACCAACACTGAGGTTCTAAGAATTTTTGTTTGCTCCTGAAGGCCTTTGCAGAAAACAAGTCAAGGTGGTTGGCTTAAGGTCATATGAAAATAAAATTAACCCACCTCTGGACTGAGTTTTTGGGAGCCTGCTCTTGTGAAGCCCGCTTGTATGTGAGCTGAATTTGGATTGCTCTGTAGGTGTCCGTACTTAACCCACATTTTAAAACAATGAGGCTGGTGTGATTTTTAAATGTCCCTCGTTAACCTCAGAAACTGTCTCTCATAACCTAATTCCCCTGGTCATCTCTAATCTCTTAGAATACAGTTTTTTGTGTGTGGTATTCGGGGCCTTCTGCTGTGTGTGATCAAAGGCACAAATCAGCGCACAACACTGAGGTTCTAAGAATTCCCAGACAGCTGCCCAGTGGGCTCTGCAGTGGAGAGAGACAGCAGGTACAGCCTTGGCCTGGGCCTGAAAAGGAACATGATTTGGAGGAGCAGAAGGAAGGCATGAGGGCAGCAGAGCTAATGGGGTAGCTCGAGGTGCAGCATCAGGAAGCTGGGTTCTTCATCATGACCTGGGCGTGGCTGGATGTTCTATTCCAGCTGAGGGAGAACGGGTCGAGCTCCGACTTGCTAGCTGGCGTTAGCACTGTCTGCCTGTCTTCCTGAGAGCCTGAAGAGAGAAGCTACTTTGTTGTTTCTTGTCTTCTCTATTTTCTGTATGCTGGGATGTCATGGCACCACCAGAAATTAATGAGAGGCAGTAGAACAGGAGTTCCTAAATAGCCAATGGCCCAGGAGGACATGATCGGCAGGGATGGACTTCAGGGTCAGGCCAGACAATAGAGAAGTTCCTATGGCCTGGTCTCTCTGGCTGGACAGAGATCAGCCTCTTACTTTTCACCTGCTTCTGGGGCGTGGCCTGACAGCCGTCCTCGCAGTAGTTGCTGCTAGCCAAGGATTTGGCCCAGAATCGCGTGACTGAAGGGAGTGTCAGCTTTCAGGCAGGGGATGGCTGCCCCACATTAGTTACAGGGAAGGTGAGAAGGGACCCTGTTTCAGTGCAAGGTGAGCTCAGCAAAGGAGCGGGCTGCTCCTTGAGTCCAGGTGGTCCTTGCACCCATATGACTCCATGAGACATCACTTTGCCTGTTTCTGAGATAGTCTTGGAAGTATTAGTCTCAAACTCTGTTTGGTTTTACTTATGTGTGGAGGAATCCTGGCCGGGCTGGAACAATGGGGAGGGCAAGGATTATGTCCTCGCCCATTCTTCTCATCCCAGAGCTCAGCTCCTGGGCAGCCCATCTTGGGCCCCCAGTAATGTTCCAGTGCTTCCAACCCCTTTGGTTGAGATCCAGCACCAGGAAAAGGCTTCCTGCTTATCTTCTTCAATCTATTGTTTCTCATGGTAGTCTAGAAACCTGAGTGGGTTCTGATCCAAGGTCACAGGAGAAAGGGGGTTCTGGAAGTCACTGAACTGTCCCCTCATCTCTACCTGGCTGCCTTGGTTCAGCTTCTTTTCTCCTGCAGAAGATGCTTCTTTCTGTTTACAAGTCCTCCTCTCTGCTGACCAGGCGCTTTTATTCTTGTTGTGGTATCCCTGCACTTCACAGGGGACCTGAACTTGTTCCTGTGCCCTGAAGTACCCATCCATGAATGATCAGATTCAGAGCAAACCACTCTGCCAGGACTCAGCAGGGGGAAGAGTCACATCTCCCTCACCTTTGGGTTTAGACCTGTGCATTCCAGTGTGGTCCTCCGTGGCATATGTGCCCATTCATGTTTAAATAAATGAAAATCTTATAACCTCCCTCACAAGAGCCATACTGTAAGTTCCCAGTTGCCAAATGTCTGCTCTTAAGAGAGCATCTCCATTCTCCTGAATCGCCTGTAGTTCAGCCACCTGGGAAGCAGCTGCTGTGAGTCTGGCCCACATTCTGTTCACTGCACTCACCTGACTCAGTGCATGTGCATCAAGGCTGGAATCTCGGGTTCTCAGATTGGAGGTAAGAGATGCTCTGAGCCAGTGTCGGTGAACAGTTGAAAGGGATTATTCGGGTTCTCTGTCTCACCTGAAGGCTCCCAACTGTGACCAGGGCCTTCCTAATGGCCCCTGAGCTCACAGAGCCCAGGGAGAGTCACCGTGGACTGAGCAGTAGTGCTGATGTTTGTGTCTCTGTACTTGGGCTCATGGGCACCACCTCTGGATCCATCCAGGAGGAAATAGACTGGTCAGGTAGGGACTGACACTCCAGGGTTGACCAGTGAGGAGGGTTCTTGGGGATTGGGTGACACTTGTTTTGGAGCCTAGGATGGGATCAGTGAAGTGACTAAATATGAAAGGAAATAGGTGTAGAAGTGTGATTTGGTTTATGTATCTTAATGAGAAAGTTGTAAGAGTTTTGTTCTCATGAGCTTTGTGTGAGTTGTGTTGTCACCATCATTTCTTGCTCTGGTGTTTAAAGATTACATTTTGCAAAGACCAGATCAGTCCTGCCTTTGCCACAGCAAGCACCAGAGCCCTGGGTTTGATGAGGCAGCGTTTTGTTGTGAATGGAGATGACAGGATGAGTGTGCAGGTGTAACGCTGAGTGTGGGGTGGGACACAGCCTCTCACAGGTGCTACGTGATCCTGAAGACAAAGTCTTTCATACGTGTGCCAGGAGCTGAAAGGAGCCCACCCTCTTTCTCTACACTCTTGGGACCTGCAACGGCATCTTCCTGTTCTGTCCTCAGCGTCTGCTGCTGCTCTAAGGGTGCTCCCTGGGTGGGATGACACAGGGAGTCCTTCCTCTGGGATTCCTGCGTGTGCCCCGGCATCCTGGAGTCCTCAGGGCGGAACACTTGACTGAGCACAGTTTTGGCCTCCACTCCTCACCCAATCCCATCCAATCCCAAATCCGTGGGCTTTGAATGAAACCTACATTGGCTTTCATTGGAGAGGCCCGAGTCCAGCTGTGGCTCAAGGCCCTCTGTGGCTGGCAGGAATCCTCGGGGATATGTGTGGAGGGGCTGCTGTGTTGCTGTAGGCAGTGGCTCTCGCCCTCCCTGTAGCCTGGTCCCTGGAATCCACTGGGCCCAGGGCAGAGCCTCTTGGGTCACTTGTCTTGTGACACCCTCGTCTCTGGCCCAACAGCCTCGTCCTGCTCCCCACACTCCAGTCAGGCCCAGCTTGTTCTCTGTGTCAGGCCTGCCAGGTGCCCACCCTCCTAGTCTTCCCACAGCTCAGGCAAACCCTGGGAGGCCCCCTCATTTCTGTGCTGACAACTGCTGGCCTCACCTGCAGATTAAAGCAACTGGGACAAGAGGCTTTATCTTGAATTCTGTTCCATTGTTTCCAAATACTCAGAAGCTGGTGGGATTCGTTTGACGACTGAATATTTTCCAAGTCTCTAGGGTCATTCCAGGCATAGAACAGTCACTGTATCTGTGACGTCATTCATCATCAGCTCCCACAGCCCCCAACACAACCCCAGGCCTGTGGACATCGGTTATGATCGCCTCCCACGGGCCCCAACACAACCCCAGGCCTGACTGAATCTGTGGCATTGGCCATCATTGCCTCCCAAAGGCCCCAACACAACCCCAGGCCTGGGCAGGTGCTGCCGACCCAGGGTGTGATCCATGTGTTGACTGGAGGCTGGCAGTGCAGCCTTGGCCTTCTTTCCGATGTTCTTCTATTGGAGACCAGTAGGACTGGTGGAGGTCCACAAGGAGGAAGGAAATGGGATTCATGAAGGAACAGAAGCAGGCCCTACAGGAGGAGGAGGGAGGGATTCCACGTCATGCACGACATTGTGAAGAGGGCGGCCGCCTCTTGGAGGAACAGAATGACATGGCTTCCCCTCCCTTGGCTGTTATGGAATATGAGGGCTGGGAAAGTGTGTGGGAAGTCGGAGGTCCCTCCCTCGTAGCACAGAGGAAATGATACGGGCTGTGGAGAAGTCTCCAGAAATGGGCACATCAGAGGCTCTGGGGTTGGCTCCACAGCCCTGGGACAGCGGAGTCTGAGGGGTTCTCTCGACAATAACTCTCCCTTTTCCTTCTTATGGCCGCCCCCATCACCGCTTCTCCTCTGGACACTCTGATGCTTGCTTCCCAGAACTGGAAGACTCCACCATTACAGGCAGCCACCAGCAGGTAATTGATCTCCTCTTATATGCTCTCTTTCTTTTATCCTCTTTCTGACTCATGAGCTCCTTTTGTAGCTCTGGTCCTTTTCCTCTTTCCCTCTCTTGCGATTGTTCTCCTGAAGGACCTGGTCTCATCCCACAGTCAAGGTCCTTGGGTCTTTAGTGTCGATAAAATCCCTCCCCAGCCCTCCTGCCGACTACCTTGGCATTGCCCTGTTCACTGGCCCCCAGGCTGCAGCTTTGAATCTTGCTGAATAACCCTTCAGGGTCCAGGGAGGGGGCTGGGCTGGGGTCAGATGAGCTGGACCCCACCATGCCGGAGGGACTCCCAGTGTCATCTGGGTCTGCTCTGGGCACCACTTTCCCAGATAGGACTTTTCCTGCACTGGCGTCTCTGGACATACACAACTGTTCTCTTTCTCACAGATGTCTGCAAGTCTTTCCTCTGCACCTGCAGAAGAAGCAACAGAAAAAACAAAAGTGGAAGAGGAAGAGTGAGTGTGCGGCGGGCAGAATGATGAGGGAAGCAGACACGTGCCCGTGTTCTTCATGGCTACGCTCACTTTCCTGTTGTCCCATCAGGTAAACCAGGAAGCTCAGGAAGGATACCCTGAACTATTGGGACATTTTTAATATATTTTAGAGACCTCTGAAGGTAAGTGAAGAGATGCCCTGAGAACATCCTCCAGAAAACAGACACCCACTCCATAGCAGCCCCTGAGCCTGCTGGGCTGAGCCCTCCACAGGCTGCTTAGTGAGGGAGACACTGAGGTGCTGGTTGGGCCACCATGTGCAGGATACCAGGGGCTGTGCACTATGTTATTTGTCTGCAGTGACACTTCAGCTCACCAGCATCTCATTTGGGGGGACCTAGCTCTGTCCCCCCAGCCCCTTGAGGCCAACAGGGAGCATCACTAGTTCATCCGGAGGAGACACTGGGGTTGACAGTGACAGACTGTCAGGATTAAGAAAGACTGGATGAAGAAAACGTGGCACATATACACCATGGAATACTATGCAGCCATAAAAAAGGATGAGTTTGTGTCCTTTGTAGGGACATGGATGCAGCTGGAAACCATCATTCTCAGCAAACTATCGCAAGAACAGACAACCAAATACTGCATGTTCTCACTCATAGGTGGGAATTGAACAATGAGATCACTTGGACACAGGAACAGGAACATCACACACCAGGTCCTATTGTGGGGAGCGGGGAGCGGGGAGGGATAGCATTAGGAGATATACCTAATGTAAATAACGAGTTAATGGGTGCAGCACACCAACATGGCACATGTATACATATGTAACAAACCTGCACGTTGTGCACATGTACCCTAGATAAAACATAAACTTGTATTTTTCATATTTTTAATTGGTCTAACAAATAAAAATGTGTCCAAAATAATACTGGCAATAATGTGTGCAATTATGTAGAGTTACGTGTTTATGTGTGTACATATATGAGGGTGGGTGAGCAAATATATATATATGTATATCATATATATATATGCTTATGTACACTTGTATGTCGGTAAACTGAATGACAGCAATGATACAAGGAATGGTAGAGAGGAATTAGAAATCTTTTGTTACTATGAGGTACTCAAACTACTGTGGAAGCAGGATAATGTTATTTGGAAGTGAGCATGGATTAATTGTAAATGTATATTGCAAACACTAGAGCAACCACTAAAAAAGTGGGAACAAAGAATTATATCTCATATGCTATAAAAGAGAAAATGGAATCATATAAAATGCTGAACCCAAATCATGTAAAGCTAAAACCCCTCAAAAACGCATTTAGTTCATCTTCTTATATCCTTGAAACATGTATTATTTATATAACCTAAATATTTAAATTAGATTTGCCAAACCAAATTCTGATTACTTGCCCATAACGTTAGAAATGAAAAGATAACAAGAAGTGACATTAGGAAAGATGATGGCAAAGTAGAAAGTGCCGGAAATGTGTGTCTCCACCTAGTCAACAACCATAGTGTGCTGTAAAAAGACTCTGGAGTCACTGTCAGAACTCTGGGGTCTCTGAACACTTCCAGCTACCAGGGAAAAAGCTCGGCTGGTCAACTGCAGTGAATGTGGACCAACTTCGGGCTTCAGCGTAACAGTGGCTCCCCAGCCCCCTGCCCCAGGCTCATGGCCAGCAAAT